CTCCCCCTGGAAACAGTGTAATAAGTGGAGGTCGAGGCAGTGCGCCGGCCGAGCGCACAACGCGCTCCCCTGGGCTGGCGGCCCTTGTGCGGCGCGCGGTCCGCGGCCGTGACCTCCCTCCAGTGAGCGGCGGCGTCGCAGGCGCGGTGCTGCCCCGCCTGGGCCCCGAACCCGTGTGGAGTGTGCCATCTGCCCCGCAGACCCCGGCCTCAGGCTCGCGCTTTTCGCCGCCCCGTCGCAGTCTGCAGTCCGGGCTGTGGCCCGCGCCCGCCCGGCGCCGGGGCAGCCTCCCGTGTCCCCCGGCCCCGCCGCCGAACCCTGGCCGCGTCCCCTGGGTCGCGGTCTCCAGCCGGTCGGGCTGCTTTCCTGCAGCCCCCGAGAGCTCCTGGGCCGAGCCGAGGCTCAGGCCCCGACGGCCAGAGCGAGAGAGGCCTCGCTCCTCGGGGCTGTCCTCACTGCCCGCCCTGCCCGGCGGGGCGTCCACGGGACGATAAAGATGACAGATCTGGACCGAAGCATCTCCAGAATCACGACACATTCCCCTCACGTAAGTGTGTCTAGGCTGCCGTCCGTCCAAGGACCAAGGGGTAACGCCCCGTTCCTGAACGGGGTGGGGAGGGCTGGAGGTCCCCGAAGAGGTTATTGGAGCTGACCCTTGAAGGGCCACTAGCACGCTGTGAGGTGTTCCTGGGGAGAGGGCTTTGCAAGCAGAGATCGGCGTTTGCAAAGGCATAAAAGCGGGGGCCGGGGGGGATGTTGGAGATTTGCAAATAGGGTCCTAAGGTTTCAGGCCAAGGCAGGTGGACGGAGCACGGGAAGACCAGGCGCTCAGGGCAGGGAGGCAGAAGGGGAGGCTGCCTTTGTGTAGCACCCTGCAGGCCTTGTATTTCATGATCTTAAGAATAGTTTTTAGGATCTCCTAGGGATAAAATCTGGGAAAATGTAGGCAAAACTAAAACTTTAATAAACTTTGCAAACAAACTTATTTCCATATATTTGCTTCCTTATTTTAATATTAAATCAAGAAACACAAGAAAGTGGGCTATGACTTTCCCCCTTTGATTCTGTAAGTTTCTGTGTAATGTAAACATTTAGAGAATCAGGTTCATGTACCTTTCTAATTTTAAAAAAGAGTTTATATTTTGCTAATTAAAAAAAAGCAAACAGAGGCTTACATATTCAAGGTTGAAAACTGATTTCCCTGTTCACTTTCTTAGAGATTTATTGCACAGTAAATTAGTTAATTGCAAACCTTCCAGCAATGTTTTACTCCATTATAGATTACTTAAAAAAAAAAAAACAAATTTGAGTTTTCCCTTTTGAACAATGAGTGGTTTATTTTAAAGTAGGTGAAAGGTAATGTGAAGGGGAAAAAAAAAACTAGCTTCAGAGATGTATGGTTTAAAGTTTGCCAAGTACTTAGTGAAGGGTTACACTAACTTCAAACGGCTGGAAAGTATAATGTAACATGAGAACACGAAGGTCCTGTTTCTTTCTCAGCCTACTCTCTCTGGTTCCCTGCAAAACATCAACATAAGAGCAGGGATTTTCAGAAATCGCCTCCCCTGGTGGAGAAGCAAATGAAGGGAAGGAGAGGGAAATGCAGTGCATGCTGTGTGAGCTCCATTATATTTCCAGTCGGGTTACTCTGTCCTTGGACAAGAGCTTTCTATTCCTGGGTGCGTCCGAGAGTCTGTGCTCTGCATGACTGTGTTGCTCAGCCAGAGTGACAGTCCCAAGCCGTGACGGTGGACAGAGCGAGCATTTCTCGATGGGGTGAATACTCGTTGGTGTATTTTATGTACCTTACAAAAGTCAGATTAAGTAAGTGTTGGTGATAGAAAGCTCGGTACCCCACATGAGTGGTCCGCTGCTAGCCAAGCTCCTTGATCCTTTCCCTTTGTGTGTTGGGGCTTGAAAATCCCAGCAGGGAGAGGTCCTGGGTTTCCAAGTGTTTCCTGTAAGCATTCTGATCAGACACTGTTTTCTGAGATAGGGTTTGTAGCCGGGACTCAGGGGTGCAAGAGCACCTGTCTCTGGGACCCCAAACAGACCAGTTTAGGACACTCGCTGCTGACAGAACCTGAAGACAGAGAGACAGGAAGGAGTTTATTTCAGGGAGGCCAACACCGGGAAGACGGTGGGCTGGTGTCTCAAAGACTGTCTCCAAATACTGAAAATATGCCCAGGTTTAGATGAGCAGCATGTGGGGCAGAGGTCATGGGTCCGTGCAGGGGGGTGGCAAAGGTCAGGTTGCTGGTGGTCTTGCTGGTGTCAGGGCAGTGCCTGTTGCTGGAGGGATGGTCTTTGTGTTCGTCACGGGGCGCTTTGGCTCACCCCACCCCGCCTCTCCCGTCTTTTGCCTGAGAAGCTGGAAGGAACTTAATTAATTAGATGGTACAGACCGAGGTCAGAATGGGGGCAGTTGAAGTCTCGGTTCAGGCTCATTGTGTTGGTGGGAAGGAAGCAGAATAAGCTGTCCCCAGACCTGCTTCTCTGGCATCAGGATTTTCTGGAGCTGATCATTTTGGGAAACAGCAGATGCAGAAGTTAGCCTCTTGCGAGGGACATTGACATTTGTAAAGGCAGTCTCCATCCGCACCGGGAAGACTCAGTGGCCTCAGTCAGTATCAGCTAAGGAGGAAGACAGATGCCCCCGTAGCACCCCCCGCACCTTCTCCATCTGTCCTGAAGATGGTGTTTTGGCTGGTGGCTCAGGCCACCTGGGGACTCACTCACTTCCCGGGTATCTCCATGGATGCACCAAGTGTACATGTCAACACACTTCGTGCTTTTCTCGTTAATCCGTCTTTTATTACAGGAGGTGTCAGCCGAGAACTCGGAAGAGTGGAGGGAAGACTGTCCCGCTCCTCAGGGAGGGGAAAAGGCTGTCCGTGTCTGCACACATTGGGGCCAGGCGAGCCTTGACTGGAGCCTCTGCCTGGGGCCGGCGTGCTTCTGCTTGTGGCTGAGGGAGGTGACTTCCGATGGGATGTGATTTCAGGACTGGAAACTTACCTGACGTTCCTGGAAGACCTGGTTCTCCCAGCTGCCAGCCGCCTGGGGATGGGAGCGCCGGGGGTGAAGCTTCATTCCTTCTGCTAAAATGCAAACACACCCAACAGGATCGTAAAGCTGTTTGCTTTTATAAGTCGTTTACATCTCAGTGAGAGCGAGGCTCTGATTCACCGTGAGCACAGATTTAAAGGAAAAGTGGAAGAGAAAGGAGCGTGAGGGTACTTAGATTTGGGCAAGACAGGGAAAGGGGCCTGTTTGGAAGCAGTGATGAGACTAAGTAGACGCCCCAGGTGGAGAGGGAGAAGGCAGGTGAGCCTGTTCAAGACACCAGTAAGTGCACTTTTGGCTGAGGCTGGGCTGCATGCAAATGCTTCCTTTCCACAGAAGGACAATGCATTTAGAGTTTCTTCTGGAGAAAGACTGATCATTCGATTTTCAAAAATTTTACAGAGGAAAATAAAAGCCAATACTAGAAAAATATATGCTATTTTCCCGAATAATTCTGTTATCAAAGTAGAATTAAAATATAAGGGCAGAGTTAAGCTCCGTTTTTCTATCAAGAAGTAATTATAAAGGAGCTATGTCTAAAAATGTGATTTTTCTTCTGAACCATTTCTGGGCTCAAATACATTTTGGGAATGTGATTCACAGCCACCTTTGTTAGTTTTTTTTTTTTTTTAAGATTTTATTTATTTATTTGAGAGAGAGAGAGAGAGAGCACATGAAAGGGGGAGGGTCAGAGGGAGAAGCAGACTCCCTGCCGAGCAGGGAGCCCGATGCGGGACTCGATCCCGGGACTCCAGGATCATGACCTGAGCCGAAGGCAGTCGCTTAACCAACTGAGCCACTCAGGTGCCCCAGCCACCTTTGTTAGTGATCAGGATGCCAGCCATGTGACTTTAAGCAATGCATTAAAAAAAATGTACCCATTACCAAAAAACCAGGATAGATGTACGTTTGTTTATAGCTGGGGTTGGCAAAGTACAGCCTGCAGGTCAAATCCAGTCCTCTCTCTGTCTTCGTATGGCCAGTGAGTTAAAAATGGTTCACATTTCTAAATGGTTGAAAAAAATTGAAACAAGACTAACATTTTATGACATGTAAGAAGTGTATTAAATTGAAATGTAGTATCTTAGCCAGGCCCATTCGTTCATAATTATGTGTTGTCTGTGGCTGCTTGCAAGCTAGAATGGGAAATCAAATAGTGGCAGCAGAATGTTTGGTCCACAGGAAATTATTTGGTCCTTTACAGAAAATGTTTGTGAGCCTCTAGTGTCCTGTATTTGTTCCCAAGGTGTGTTCCGTGGAACAGTCTGCTCAGGTACCCTGCATTTAAGAAGGCTTCCATGCTCAGGTGAGTCTGACAGAGTCTGCATGCCACAGTTCACTTTCAGATAATCATTGTCCACACTGGCGTTTTAAAGGACCTGAGAAGTCCTGCAGTGAGCAGCCAGTTTCCAAAGCATATTTGACTTCAGAACAGTCTCCACTCCCATTACACCTGTAAACAGCCTTTGGACTAAGAGAAATCTCCCACAGAAGCTTCCAGGCGGGACCTTGGACAGGTGGGGGCTATTTTCAGGCAAGGTTCCAGCCCAGCCTTTGGTTGGACCTGCTCCCAGGCCCCATAACACCTCGAAGGCATGTTGGAGGTGATTTTGTCCGGTCATCTCATGTTACAGATCGGGAGCTGGGGGTTGGTCAGGGTCTTCTTGCTTTGCTGTCTCGTCTGCCTGGAAGGCTCCTCTCTGGGTGTCCCCCTGTCTTCCTGTTTTGCTTCCTCTGGACTTTGGCCCACCTGTCACCTTCCCCATGGAGGCTTCTCGACCACCCTGACTCGAGCCTGTCGTCTGTCTTCCCAGGCACCTCTGAGCTGTTTGTCTCAGTAGTACTTCATGCTAACACGCCCTACACTGACGTATTTTTAAAAATTGTGCGTCCGCCTCATTAGGGCCCTAACGTCCCGCGGATTGTTTTCTGTCGGGCGGGGTCACAGCCTAGACTAGCGCACGACATGTCCATGCTGCATCCGGTGTGTGAGGTTCTGCTGGTCGCCTCTGTGTCCTCCAGCAGGAAAGCAGGTGAGATCCTAGCATCCTGTGTGTTTGGGGTCAATCCTGGTTCTGGCACTAGTAATCCCTACTAAGTTTGCTCTGGGTTTCAGCTAGAGCCCAGTGAGATAAATGAAGCTCAGGTTTATTTTATTACCCTCTTCCCAGCCAGAGCTCTGGGGCGGATAGGACAACTCCCCAGCCACCAGGGACCCGAGCTCCTCTTTTATCTGGCTGCGCCAGCGTCCTGAGAGCCCCGTTCCCGCCCCCCCCTCTCCTGGCCCCGGGACCTCTGGTCCGGACCTCTGTGTTGCCAGCAGGGGGCAGTTCAGTCTCCCCTGAAGAGTCTTCTTGGTGATTTTTGCTTCTCTCTCCTTGGCCCTCCCTGACTAGGAAATGTAGTATTTGGGATGGACATGTTGCCAACCCAAATAAAACTTTTCAGGAACACGCATTTCGGGCAGGTACCTAGCCGTGTCTGACACAGGAGCTGCGTAACTTTGGGCAGATAACGGTAGTGACTTCCCAAAGTCCATCAGTCTCCTAGGGTTGCCGTAACAAAGCCTCGCAGGCTGAATGGCTCACGACCGCAGGAGTGTGTTGTCTGGTCGTCCAGGCAGCCAGGAGGCTGAATCAGCATGTCAGTAGCGTGGGATCCTTTGCTGGAGGCCAGGAGGGAGACACCGCACGCTCTCTCCCAGCGTCTGAGGGACACTGGTTGGGGGAGGGAGAACTTCCCCTCCAGCCTCGTGGGGTCCCTGGCTGGATCTGCACCTGGAGCTGACAAAGGAACGGGAGGGAAGCTTGTAAATGTATGGAATGTAAGTTCTATGGGATGCGGGGGCCTTCGTGAGGAAATGAAGGCCTGAGGACGTGGTTAGATGCGTCTGATGAAGGGGGGACAGCTGTCAGAGGGCCAGGAGTGGGGGGGAGGCGAGCTAAGCTGTGGGACGCTCTGCAAGGCCTGGTGTCCCTCTGTGTTCAGAGATAAGGCTGCTCCCTTCCTCCTGGTCTGGTGAGGGGTCCTCTCCCACGACAGCCCGGTGACCTTCAAGGACACGGGTGCAGTGGGCACGTGGGGTCCGTGACCTTCCTGCCGCTCAAGCTCCCTCACCTTCAAAGGCGCACTCTGCCCCGGCGCCTAGGTTGAGGAGTGTGTCCCTGGCTTGCAGGCCCATCGCTGCCGTCTGGCTCATCGTCTGTGTCTCTGCGTTCAGGGCCCACCGCAGTCTTTGCCTTACGCCTGCAAGGACCCCGTCTCCACAGCAGGTCACATTCCAGGGCTCCACCGGACTGCACAGGATCCCCGCGACAATGAAGTGTCACCGGCACAGCCTGACCTGGCAGGAACTTGGATCTTTCTACCCAGAAGCGAGTGTGAGGCTATGCACACATCACAAAACTCTTTCTGGAAGTTGTAGTGTACAGAAAGGGAGTACCTTTCCTGCCTCCTTTATGCTTGTTTTTGTGTAGCGTCACGGCATTTAGTTCTATAAGCAGGTGAATCCTCAGATTTAAACCCGGGCGCACCAGCTCTTGGACTTGAGAACTGTCGCGCACCTGTGCCTTGGGAGGAAGTGTCGGAATATTATCAGAAGTGCCGGTAACAGGCAGGGCCTTCTGGGTCAGACGCCAAGCTGGGGTGGTCTGCTGAAGCGAATGCGGCTCACTTTCTGCAACCCGAGAATCTTACACGGTGATGGAGTCTGAGGAGATTAAACCCAAGGTATAAGGGGCAGTATGGGTAAACATGAGCGCATTAAATGTGCTGGGCGACCTCGTGGTAGCGCGACATCGGGCTCTGAGCTCCGGGAGGGTGGGGTTCCCAGCCAGCACGATGCAGATGGAATACTGACATTCTCCTCAGGTCTGCACGTTCCCCTCACCGTCTGTCATTTGACTTGAAAGATCTGTGGCCCCAAACCCAGGAACACAAAGCAGAATGGAAGTTGACGTGACCAGATTTTGTAGTGAAAATCCATACTGAAGATTTGACATTTTCTGTATTTGGAGCCATGAAATTAAAGAAGAAAAGCCACGCAGGTATTTCCTTGTCTCTCTCTTTTTTAGTTTTTATTTAAATTCCAGGTAGTTCCCCACGCGGTGCTGCTGGTTTCAGGAGTGGGGTCAGTGACTGAGCGCGTCCCCCCGGCACAGGCGCTCGTCGCGACTCCTTACAGGGGTCTTCCTTCATAGCAAATGCACTTAAAACGGCTTCTCACTGCATTTTGACCCATCCAAGTCACTAAATGTAATGCTATTTGTGGGTGGAATTCTTAGTCAAATAGAAATGACCTATTTCCTTGTGGATCTGTGACACGGAGAGGGAGGACAGGAAGCGTCCGAAAGCCCCATGTGGGGAGAGCCACGGAGAGCCCTAATGGGGTTTTTCTCAGCTTGCTCTGTCCCCCCTCCCCCCAGGATGCATTTGCTGTAAGGGGCGTCTCTCAGTTTACGTGGTAGTCATGGCTACCTGGTCTATTTAAAACTTCCCTTCCAGTCAAACTTTTATATTTTTTAAATGTTCTTTACCTACTGAGGATAAAAGTGCCCATCATTGTGTCAAAAGTATCTTCCAACCTTTTTAACCATTGTGTCTTACTACTTGAACTTTAATGAGTGTGCTTATATTGATTATAAAATATAATCGATAGGTTATACTCAGGTAAATAATTATAATCATATATAACACATTTTCAATATTTGTTTCAAAAACTAGAATTGTGGCCACTACATAGAGGTGGGACGGACCCTTCCCCCCAGGCTTGGTTTGGGGGTACAGACAGATGATGCCATGCCCACACCAAGAGGGTATGAAAAGTCTTATTATTCACATAATGAGGCTTTCTGGGGAGGACGGGGTGGTTCCCAAGCAGATCCAGGGAGAGGAGACTGACTGCTTTCATTGTGATCAGGGGGTGGGAATTCCGTGTTGGCCAGGCTTGCGTGACGTGCCAAAGGAGGAAACACCCAGGGTTTCTTATCAGCTTGCCCAGATGTGGGGCAGCACAGGGTAGTGGTGGGGCTTGAGAGCTCACATCAGTAATGGAGTCAGACTCTTTATTACAAGAGTGAAAGACTTAAACACTTTTATGTTTATTAATAATAAAATGTTTAATTTGTAGCTTATTACTTTTTCCCCATGGTGTTCAGTAACATAAGAAAAAACATTTAAGCACGTTAAAGATTAGCATAAAGTCTTAGAAAGTTTAAGAATTGAAGAAAGGGAGAGTTCTTGAGGTACTATAAAGTAGCTAAAAAATATGGTGCAAAAGGAACTTTCAAGCTGGCTCGTTCAGAGGGTGCTTTACCCAACGTATAATATAATCTTTTCTCCATTAAAAAATAATTTTCACTTCTTAAAAAAAAAGTGAACAAGTAGCTCGTGTATTATCTTTATTTTGGGCTTCCAATTTTGAGACATTGGAACTAAATCAATTGCTGAGGGCTGTACCACCACTGTGGTATTTGGGGCTTGTCTGTCCCCCATTAGAATGTAAGTCCTTCTAGGGCTGAGACCATTGTCAACCCTTAACTGTTTGCTGTTAAACAGTACCTGGCACATAGTAGACACATTAAAAATATCAGAGGATGGATGGGTAGGTGGGTGGGTAGATGGGAGGATGGATGGATGAATGGATGGATGGGTGAATGGAGTCGATCCATAAGAGGATGGGTAGGTGGATGGATGGAAATGGTGGGGGGATGGTGAGTCCACGTGAGTTGCCACTAGATGGCAGTGCTTTGGGTCTGTCCTACAAATCTTTACAGCAGGGAAACTGTCAGCAAGGTGGCTATTAAGGCTGGATCCCATCAGCGCCATGTGCCCGAACCCCCATGACCAAGCCCCTCATGGCTGCCCCTTCATGCCCACCAACCTGCTAAAATGCCAGGGATTAGTGAGTCATGGAATCATTTCTTTGTAAGGACTCTTAGATATTATCTGTTCTATCCCAATTCCCAAATTTTTCAGTCCAACAAAGTGGGGGACAGCCAAACCTTCACCCCTCAGCAATTGATTTAGTTCCAATGTCTCAAACTTGGGACCCCAAAATAAAGGTAATACACTGAACTACTTCTTCATTTAAAAAAAAAAAAAAAGCACTATAATCTCCCGTAGCAGAGACTTCACACCTATACCACCACGGCCGTGACCGTTTCCAGGACTGCGCCAGCTGACCCAGGAAGCCCTGGCCTGCGTCACATCTACCTCTTACTCCTGGAGGAGTTTTCTGCAAATCAGCTGCTCTGCCAGTTTTGACCCTTCAGCCTGATCTCTTTCTCCTGGCTGCAGCCCAGCTTACCTGGCATTTTTTCTTATACTAAGTGACAGCATTTTTTAAAATCTGAAAGTTCTAGCGGCGAATCCCATTCTGGCCTCTGTGGAAGCCAGAGGTTTCTGTTTTATTTAATCCTAGCATTTCTCAGCACCAGGGGCGCACTCCGCCCTGCTGGATTCCTTCCTGTGTTCCTCACGTTCCCATGCGTTTTAACAATGATTGAAAACGCACCTTTTCACACACAGGTAGAGTAAGTGCGCTCTAGCCGTCCTTCCCTCCCTTGCTCCTTTTGTGTTCACTACGTGTGTGTTACAGAGAGCCAGGCTCCTTATTTGTCTATAGGGACAAATAGGGCATTTCCACCCCCAAAATTTGAAGTGCAATCAGATAAAGTACATGAAATCAATAAGATACATAAAATGCACCACGGTCAGTGTAGCAAATATAAGTGCCAGGGTTTCTGGTCAGACAAAGTTGAGAAATTATTCTGAAATACGGATTATTGCAGGGCTGGGCCTTTATGTACAGACTAGGGATGCTAATGCCCACGTCCTGGGCTGGCGTAAAATTTCAGGGCGCATGTATGGCTGTTCCCTGCCCGCGCGGTGTTGGGTAGACGCCACGTCCCGCCCCCTCCTCTGTGGCGGGGCTAGAGGCCGGGGTCTGTGAGGACACAGCGGGAGGACCAACCGGCTGTAAGCGTTCGTTCAAGGCGCATGGACAGGGAGGTGCGTCCGTGGAGTCCTCTGGGGAGCAGGTGCTGAGACAGAGTTGGGCGTCCAAGGGCCTTGTCGGGAAGCAACGTCGGTGTGAAGTAGAAGGGACCAGGGAGCAGTCCTGGGCTGCGGAGCCGCAGACCCTCCCACGGGCCAGACTGAGTCTCCGCTCGCTCGGCCGACGGGGGCGCTGGCACGAGGTGGCCCGTGGGGCCGTCCTGCCTTGGGTGGAAAGATCCAGGCTCTCGAGCCCCCGCCAAGGACGAGTGTGAGCTTGGCTGAAACGTGGCAGAGCCTGCAGGCATAAGCGCTGGAGGCCGGGAGCTCAAGGCCGCAGCGGGAGGATCCCGGAGGATGGGAAGGGAGGCACACCTGCACGTCCGTCTCCTTCGGGGACCCGCGGAGCGCGCAGCGACCCAGCCCCGCTCTTCCCGGCCGCCCGCTCCCAGCACGGCCAGGGGCTGTGGTCTGAGCTGGCACAGGCGACCGCGGGGAGCGGCCGCGGCCGAGGTTTGGAGGCCAGGAGCCCACGCCCACCATGCACGGGGAGCCGGCCGACTCCGGTCAAGGTGGTGGTGACCGTGGCTTCCCGCTGGTCCCCGAGAGTTCGGGGCAGGCAGCTTTCCCCGGCCTCCGAGGCCCCGCCCGAGCCTCTGGGCACGTTCGGCAACGTGTGCAGACGCGTTGGGTGTGTCAGAGCACAGATGGGGGGCTCTGCAGGCTCGAGGCCGGGACGCTGCCCCCGCACACGGACCGCCGGAAGCCAGGCTCCAGCCGCACGTGCTCAGACGCGCGAGGGCTCCGCGCACGTCCCCCTGCCAGTTGGTGTCCCGCCTCGGGCTCCGCTCCCAACGCGACTCTCCAGCAGGCTCACCTCGCCGGGGAAGTCCACACTCACTTGAATGTGGACTTGTTTATTGTCTTTCTCCCCGAACCGTCAGCTCCAGACACTGCCATCCGATCAACCAGCAGAGTGCTTGGTCCGCGCTCCAGCGTCCTTGTGGAGGGATTCGTGACAGTATCCAGAGGATGCGTTGGTTTGGAGAGGCTGAGTCCCAGATGCATTTATGGGGTGGACGAAACCGTAGTTTACTTACAGTGTGGTATTTGTCATTTATTTTATTAACGATTGTCCCACATGTTTAGTCAACGCTTTCTTGGGAGTGTGTCACGATATTTGTTTTGCCAGGTAGCATATCTCATTTTCAAAGGGGAGGTACAGAGGACGTAAAGTACAGTCGACCCTTGAACAAACAGGTTTTAACTGTGTGGGCCCACTTCCATGGCGGTTTTGTTCGACAGGTGCAGGACAGTGCTGTAAATGTGTTTTCTCTTCCTTATGGTTGTGGTAGGAGCGTTTCCCTGGCTGACTGTTGTGAGAATACAGTGTGTGATGGTTATAACACCAAGTAGGCTTAGGTCGTCAGTGCGGCTTCTGGTCAACAGTGGGCTCTCCTAGTTAAGTTTTGGGGGCATCAGCTCTAGGTTTTTGACTGTCCGGGGGCTGGTGCCTGTCACCCCTGCACTGTTCAAGTGTCAACTGTAAAATGTTAGCATCTTTTCTTGACCATTCTCGCTCCCACTCACCCTGCTCCTCCCGTGCCCAGCCTTGCTCATTCAGCCTGGGCTGCACAAGCACTGGGTTCGCCCCCTCCAGGCCCTGCCCCCACTGTCCCACCACCCAGCCCAGTCCCAGACCTGCACATGGCTGGCTTTCCTGCTGCAGGTCCAGCTCAAATACCCACCCCCAAAAAAAGTTTGAAAAAAGAAATTAAAGGGGGCCTTGTTCGCCTGAATGTGCTTAAAAACTTTAAAAAAGACATTAAAGAATTAATACAGTGTAATGCAACTATAGAGGATGCTATTGGAGGGAACAGGGTCCTTCTCCATGAACTACACAGCACGATACTATTCCATCAGCCTGTCTGTCCTCACACCAGTCAGGACAATGCTGAGCCGGAGGCCATAAAATAATTAACCAGGAGTGGTTTAAAAATCTGAGACATTGTGAAAAGTTACCATTCAAAAAGCCAAACAAAAAA